GGATAGAAGGTCCGGTCGCATCGGTAATAGTACAGGAGGCTGTACGAGCGACCTGAGTTTTACCGGAAACCAGCGTTGAGACGACCACAGAGGTGCAAGAAGCACAAGTAGTCACGCTGGTTGGGTCGCTAGCTGCGATAGGACTCTGGGGATCAGAGGTATCGGTGGGAAAGCCCACAGAACCCTGTCTGTCCAATCGAGCTGGAAGGCATCGGAGGCGATCGCTCCCGGATCCGGGATCCGTGAGCAAAACACCGGAGTCTGGTTCATCACTCCAGAGGCAAACAGATCCACCTGGAACGACCTGAACAACTGGGAGATAATCCCGAATATCATCCAGTCGAGTAACCACTCGTGAGGGGCCAGGATACGACGTGAGAGAGCATCTGCACGAACGCTGTCCTCCCAATTCTAGATACACAGGCAAGACCAATGTTGAACTGGTCACAACACACAGAAACACACGCACACACCACACAGTGACGAACACACACACACACACACCACATATACACACACACACACACACACCATTTCTACACAACCACACACAACACACACAAACACACACTGCTCACACACACATTGATGTAAGGTCACACACACACAGGTCTCCCAGGACACAAACACACACCCAAAGAGGGAGGCGTCCGTCTGAATTGTGAGCGTAGGCACCGGGGTCTCCAGTGGGATACCCCTGGCTAGATTCCCGGTGCCGGTCCACCACCTCAGGTGAGGAATAAGCCACTCTGGAGTTAGGAGAATTGTCTCGTAACTCTCCGAGTGTGACCACAGCTGTGCTAACGCTTGCTGAACTGGTCGCATCCTCAGACGCGCACGCCAAACTATGTCCACTGTCGCCGCCATGTTGCCTAGCAACTGAAGCCATGTGCGAGCAGAGGCCCTGGGGGACTGAAGGAATTGTAAACAATCCTTTGGACTTTGGAAATGCGGTCTTGAGACAGAGAGACTAAACCCTGCTGTGTTTTGAATCTCGCCCCCAAGAAAACCAGATCCTGTGTTGGAACCAGTTCAGATTTCTTGAGGTTGATGATCCAACCCAACCTGGTGAGAATGTCCATCACTGACTGTGTGGAATCCCGACTCAAGTGAGTGGCAAGTGCTCTGAGAAGCCAGTCGTCCAGGTACGGGTAACAAAAGTTGCCCTGTGCCCTGGCGACTTGAGCTGGCACTAACATTAGTTTTGTGAACACCCTTGGCGCCGTGGAGATGCCGAAGGGGAGCACACGGAACTGTTAGCAGCTCCCGTCGAAGAAAAACCGGAGGTATTTCCTGAACTCGGGGTGCATTGGTGCATTGGTACATGGAGGTACGCGTCCTTGAGGTCGATTGACGTGAGCCAATCCCCTGCCTCCACAGATGAGATCACTGAACGCAGTGTCTCCATCTTGAAGGACGGTACCTCTAGTAAGTTGTTCAGGCCCTTTAAATTGAGAATGGGCCTGAACCCTCCGTCCTTTTTGGTAACCAGGAAATAAGTGGAATAAACCCCTTGATTTTCCTGGCCCGTCGGAACCACCTCGATGGCTGCCTTGTCCAGCAACGACTGGACCTCGGCACAGAGAATATCCGCCTTCTCCTGAGAGTTCGGCACTGGAGTGCAACGAATCCCGGAGAAAGGAGGAGGGCCTCGCTTCCACTGCGGCATATGGCCATCCCTGAGTGTGGACAGGACCCAGGGATTTGATGTGACTTTCTCCCATTCCCGAAGGAACAGAGGTAGTCGGCCGCCGACAGGGACGTCGGGTAATAGGCAGTGAATCCCGGCAGTCGGCAGTGTAACAACTGCTTGTGCCGGGACCACCAAGGGCTCCGGAGGAAAGCTTACTGGGAAGCCGGGGCCGACTTCCCCTTCCTCTGAAAATGCTGCTGAGAGGAAGCAGCCTTGCCCTTTCCTCTACCCCTGCCCTTGCCTCTACGTGCCTGTAGTGGAGCAGTCCACTTAGGCGCTTCCTTTCCTGACGAGGAAGGGTAAGCAGAGGCAAGGACGGGAGGCCGGGCGCGAGAAGTGAGGGGTTGTTCGAGTAAGGGTTTAGAATCCTTAAACTGACTAACCACCTCCATGGCCTCCCTGACTACTGTCAATGCCCCCGGGAAAAGGGTTGAACCCATCCTGAATGGCAGAGAAAGTAGCGCCTGTTGAGTAGCCGGCAAATACCTGGCCACTGACAGCCACAACCGACGGAGGCCCATAACTGCAGACATCATCTGGCTAGCGCACGACCGAATGGCGTCGCGTGCCAGATGAGAATGCACCTCCGTCAGCTGCCTCGCTAACGTGACGATGACACGGCGTCGTCCCCGCCCTCCTGGTCCACCAGCTTCCTCTGCAGCGCTGAGAGGTAAGCCGAGTGAACAGAAACCTTAAGATGTTGAACTGCATTACGATATTGCTCTACAAATGAACGATACACAGATTTCAACACTTGGTTGTTGGAGGTGAATGGAGGTAAGCGCCGACCTTGACGAGCCGACGCTTGGCTATGGCCCGATGACCCCATCCACCACACAGAGGGCAACTGAGGCATAAATGCACTCATCCACTACCGGGGGGTAATATAGAGCATCCTCTCCCATCAAATAGCGCCGGTTCAGCTCCGGGAGATCGAAGCGTGACCTGCCACCTGATAGGAGAGGATTAATTACCTCACTAATGAGTGAAGGCAATATACGTAAATGGGACTCTGCGACCCGACACGGAGCAAACGCCTCCCCGGGGAGACGAAACTCCATGGGGTCGGGGCCGTCTGACAGAACGACCACCTGCGGCAATATAGAAGCAATGCGTTCACGCACTTGCCGTAGGGACGGACCAAGCGAGAAGTTACCCTCCCCCGATGCCTCCTGCCCCCCCGTCCTCATCCATGGCCTCCTCCTCCCGCTCCCGTGTCAAGAGTCACCTCCGAAATCACAGAAGCTGGTTCCACGGACAAGGATAAGGGAGCAAGAAGAGCCGAGGTGCCTGGTCCGACTGACCCTATGCTCGATGTCGAGCCTAGTCGCCGAGAACCCAGGGAAGTGCCTGTCGAAGCAGGATTCCCCGGAGTACTGGAAGGCACCGAGGCGATCGGCAACACCGACGCTCGAGTAACCCAAGCTTGGGTGCTGGTTGTCAATGGTACGAGACCCGAAGTACCAGCGCTAGTGAGCTGTGCTGAACCGGAGCCTAAGCTTGGGCCAGACACAAGCACACCAGCAGACAGGCCAATACCAGAGCCGAGGCTCAAAGCAAGCACCCCTCCGGAGGTAGAACCCGTCCCTGGGCCTAAGCCCGAGGTAGGGGTACCTCCGACAGACGACCCCGGATCGCCACTAACCCCTGAACGGATACCGATCTCCTGCCGGAGACCGGACATCTCGTCCGAGATAAGTGAACGAACCGAAGTCATCTGTTGCTGTAAAATAGAAGATAAATCTGTTAGCCGTAAGGGTGCAGAATCAGATTGTGCTGAAGTGGAGGGAATAGGGGAAGAAGGTTTTTCCGCCGTCTTGGCCCGTTTACCCCCACCCCCGCTAACAGAAGACGAACTCTTCTTGCCTTTACCAGATTTAGAGGGTGGGTCCTGAGCCCATAAGTCCCCCCCCCCCCAATTTTTGTAGAACAAAAAATCGGCAGACCGACGTTTGGTAGTCTTGGGTGACAATACTAGGCATTTCTCACATATCTGATCATCGTGCTGATCACCGCCAAACAGCGGACACAAACGTCATGAGTATCCTGGGGTGGCAACATAGCACCTCATGCAACGCAAGGGTGAAACTGTAACAAACAGAACCATTTTAATGGAAACTGATGTACAGTTTAACTACACACATATATGAAAACACAAGTAATAGCAAAAAAGAATACGCACAGGCGATAAACCATTTGCCAAAAGCTGACGCGATTTTAACCCTTTAACATGTACACATGAACAAGAGGAGAAAATGCAAGCTACCTGCGTAACATATACATCGTAAAAAATATGAAAACTTACCCAACTCACCTTAACATCACTGAAAGTGAAAAACATTAGGCAAGCATACAACAAGTAATCTAAAAAACCCACCGACCTAGCTATGTAACCTCTAAAAGTTACAAAACGTAGACGGAAGGAAGCTAAACTGACCGCCATCTTGCCTGCCACCTGGCTGGAAAATGGAGCCTGCCTGTCAAAGTTACAACAATCATGAATGAAAAAATCAACCTACAATTCCATCTAGCGCCTCTGCGTAAGAAAAGGATCCATACATACAGCAGGTGACTCTTTACCACTCATTTTCAAAGGCCGAAGTAGAAAAACTTCAAAGAACACACACGCACGTCTATCACGAAGAACGACAGCATGAAAAGTGAGGTGCGAGGTTGTCGGCTAGAGTTACCTGCTCTTGCCGGTAGGGGGCCCTATAGGGGTGGTCTCACAAGACAAAACGTGTTTTGTTTATATATTTTTTATTAAAATATAGTTACAACTGTCGTAGGGTTTTTAAAATGGACATTTTAATGCTTATATGTACCCCAAAGAGGACTTCTTCTGAAAAAGGGAGGGAATTTGTAAAGGGAGGGTGTGTGTAATTGATTTGTGTACATGATATCCAAGTGGGTCACTTACTGTACGTAAATTTTAGGGGGGTTATTCACATTGTACATGCTTCTGTATACAAATCATCATTTACCCCCCTTGCCATTAATTTTGAGCAGTCCCTTATGTTAAAATGACTTCAAGAAATAGTTCATGGGACATGAAACCAGACAAAACAGCTTTTTCTGTTTGTATGAACACATTTTGAAGACCGAGTACAGGCTACCATTGGTTCAGGCTACCATTGGTTCAGGCAGCCATCAGCACATTACTGGCCCTTACAGACAAATCCTCGTTTATACAGTGTTTTATATCTCAGTTCTATTATTTACCCTGGACCCTCTTCCATCACCCCTGAATCAGGTTTAAAGTCCTCGATACTCATGGTATATGTCCTGAACAAGGGAAGACAACCTCGAGCGATACATGCCGTAGCTGACTTTGGTCAAACCATAGGAGTAATCAAACCAAGGATCATGATTGTGCCTAATGTTGGTTGTCATGTTGAGATAGCAGATCCTGGCAGCCATGGGAGACAACTCTGGACAGAGAATTACAGAACTTAGAACAATGTACATCAAATATGTCCAATATCCCTCCTTTATCGTCTATGAAAGGGAACAACTGATAACAACAATGCTCCAAATATTGTAAACATTTACATGAAGCAATTACGTATGTGTAAAACACATTCCACATTTCCTGGTTTCTCTTCTTCTACGAGCTGTTACCGATCTCATCACAATCATCCTCACTCATACACAGCTACCAAATACAAATAGATGACTTGTCTTCGTATACTTGAGAACAACTGCAATCAATACTTGATCATATACTGTTATCATGGTATATAGTACTAGTATTTTCATAGTAAAACCGTACACTGATAATAAATCAAAACGATAAAAAATGTTACATTGTGAGAATGTACCCATTTTTTCCAGTCTTGTTTTACAACAACCATAATTCATGTTTAAGTTCAAACTTCACACAGAGTAATACTAACATCCACTTTCTGCAAATATACAGTATGATTAAATATAACAACTGTCTCAACATTCCAAACATTATTCCCTCATCCCATAATGCAACAGCAGCTCCTGGTGGAGATGGCCACATCTTTCAGGGTCAGCCATTGTTCGTTGTCACACAGCGCAACCTCCACGAAAATGAGGTCCCCCTACATACTGATCCCTGTATCTGTGAAGCAAGGTCAACTGCTGGGCTCTTTAGCAAGAGTAAGAATAAGATCCTTGAGGCTTGACCGTTTGTTGGAGATGGAATTGACAGTCACAGCATCAGCCAGTGGGATGCCAGCAAACTCACAGAACTCCTTACAGAGGTGTTCAGACACTGAGATCACATACATTCCACAGTCATGCCCTGTAAGAGAGCAAAAGAAATTAATTTTAACAGTAGATATTCTTGTCTTTCCTATGTATCATGTGGTTTGACAACTGCGGTCCCTTGACAACTAATGTCCTAGTCTGTAGGGGAGGTCTTCGAATGGCATTTAGAAGTGAATCACATGAGGAAGAGTTTTTTAATGGATGTCAACTTCTTTATTATGAGGAACACAATGTTTCGGAGTAAATCCTTACTCCTTCATCAGCTGATGAAAGAGTAAAGACAAACTCCAAAATGTTATGTTTCTCGGGATGACAACACTGTATGGATGATCAACTTCTTAATTTGACAATGGCGACGTTTCGGTATAGATTCTTATACCGTTTTCAAGCAAGTGGAAAACAGTATTAGAATCTATACCGAAACGTCGCCATTGTCAAAGTAAAGAAGTTGATCATCCATAAAGTCTTGTCATCCCTATACCACCAACTTCTAGAATGCCACTCAAACAAATCGTTGTGTTTCTCACAATAAAGAAGTTGACATCCATCCACAAAGACTCTCTTCCTTAGTAGATATTCTCTTGTCAGAAAACTTCCAATCTTAATGATGTCATTCCTACAAAGTTTCTTATATTTTTCATGGCTTATGAAGAGTTTGTCAAATCTTGAAGCAGAGATCCGATTGCAATGAGATTGGTGTAACTAAACAGATGTAATATGTCACACAAACCATTCTTCTGTTGAGGACAGTCCATTTCCACAAACTTCATCCTTCCATAAGGAGCTGCAACAAGACGAAGTTCATCATTGGTTATCATACAGGTGAATATTTCAATCAAGGAACTCACTCACTCTCCAGCAAAATATGGTCATATTCAAACTGAAATCACATAAAACATAAAAGCCCTGTTTGTCATTAATATTTTCAAGTAAGTGAGTGAGTGAGTGAGTGAGCCATTCCAGCTGTATGGCGGTAGTCTGTAAGTAATCAATGTCTGGACCAGACAATCCAGGGACACGATGACGTGTCAGCAAGTCTGACCAACTGATCCTGTTAGCCACCTCGTACAAACACCATGGGTTTCTGAAGACCAAATCTAACCTAGATCTTCATGGGTAGGTCATGAGCAACATTTAGTGTATTACTAACATTCATTTATTTATTCGATATTTTGGCCATGTGGCCCAAAGTACAGTTGATTGTGACGACATAGCCGTAACACGTGACAGGAAGAACATATATACATCTTCATGATAAGGAAAACACATGTTTCATGAAAATTGCGATAGAAGTTATGGCTTGGATATTTTTTGCATTGTGAACAGATAGACTTTTGTAATTGATACTATGTAAATATTTTGTTCGGAGAACCACATACCTTTCACATACAAATAATACATGGTCCTCATCTTCGAGAACTTCTAACGTTCTAGAATACAACTTGTGCACACAGTAATGTTTTCATTAGTACATTTTTTTTGTCTCAGTAGATTTACTTTAAACGAATGCAATGCAATACGTAATTTACAGAATGCACGAATCAAGGTCTGATCACTTAGTGCTAAGACCTTGATTCGTGCATTCTGTAAGTTACTAACATTACTTAGAACAGTGATTCTGCATCAATAAACCCATGTCAAGTTTATCTCTCACAGTGCGACCCCAAGAGGTTTGACAATGGCCCTCTATCAATATTTTATTTGTTCCCGTTTGTTCAGTTTCTTGGCAGAACACTGCACTACTCACCATGTACATGAGGCTGTAATCTGTAAGCCAGTTTTTTGGCAACAGACTCGTTACTGTGGTTGGCTGAATCATAATGACGGAACTCTTGGGTGCTACGCACATACACAAGAAGACTCCTGAAATAGTGACAATTGGATATTTTCTCTGTAAAGACAAGCATCATCTTAAAGGAGAATAGTAGACAATTGCAATAATTTGCTGGGTGAAAGATAAAGTCATCAGAAACATGTACCCAAATTTTAATGTTTTTATCGCGAAAACAGCTTCCGTTATCTGAGCTTCGGGCCATTATGCATATTTCACTGGAACTAACGTGACCTTTCCGCTCGTGACGTCATATGTGACTAGCGTCCGCCATATTGCCAAAGAACAAGCGCTACAGTGATACAAATCGTGTTGTTTCTGTCGTTTTTGTAAATGGTACGATAGTGTATTCCGTTGCCTGGGGATCCATTAGATTTAGATGCTCCTATCATTCCGAGTCGGGTGCATATGAAAGAGACATGTACACATGGGGTATGAAAATCCCAAAGATAGGCTGAAGAAGGAAAATGTACCCACGAGATTCATATATAATAAATCATTCCATGTTACAACTTACTGTCAGTGGTATTTTTAACATAAATTAACCAAGTCCGATAGCCAGTAGAATTGCCCCCCGCTACAAACTGCCCCAGCAAATTTGGTCAAATTGCCCCAGGGGGTAGTCAAAATGCTCCAATTTATTTAAAATGATTAAATATAGGCCATAAATGGTTCCTTTTGTCAACTTTGATATTATGTTCTTCATATAAAAGTATATACATAGTTATGAGTTTACTAATGGAACATTGATCAGACATATTACTTAATAATAACTTTTACATGAAGAACATAACAGTTGACAAAAACTATGCATTTACGGCATATATTTAATCATTTTAAATAAATTTGACCAAATTAGAATGAATGACCAAATTTGCAGGGGCATTTTGCAGCTGGGGCAGTTCGACTGGTACCCATGAGATATAATATCAAAGTCAGTAAGAGATTTCACATGAGCTTGAAAGTGTTTCACTATAACGTTCTTTTCGGTTTGGAGCCCTAAATACTGCAGTCTACCCAAAACATTGCCGAGTACAATGGCAAATCATGAAGTACTTGTTGCTTTCATTGTTTTCCATTTTGTCCAATTACGCCACGTCGGCATCAGACTCGCTATTTGTCAGTAGTGTGTCAGTAGAAAGTTGTTCTGTATTCTCATTGGCTGACAAGATGTCATTCTAAGGCTATAACCGAGTACCATAACTATTTCCATAAACAAACACTGGGGAAACATACATTGTCTTGACTAATATTTTATAATTCACCAGTTTTCGGGGAATAACTTATCTGCGTCGCGAATATTATCTCTGCTCGACTAGGCTGGGATCTTGTATGGAGACTTGATACATTATTAATGAAACCTAGGATCCTAACTTTTTTCAACAAAATAATTCCAGTGTAATTTTTTGTAGCAGATAATTTCTATTTTCTCCGTCTGAAGCATAATTATTTTGTTTTTAAATCCCAGACACCCTACAGTCACCCTTTTGACACAAAAGGAACTGCAATCACATTTTTTTTTTTTTTAAATAATTCTTAGGGACTGGTCATATATTTATAGGGTGGGTTTGCTGGCTGGAACTGTATCACATTTTGCTGACAAATAGTATTCTTGTTAAATGATATGGTCTATTTTAAAATTTATTTTGACCTCAAGTGGTGCCTCCGTTTCACTTGATTCTTCTTCTTCATCTTCACTGGAAGATTGTCTTGCAAGATGTAAAATCAGATCGTATTGATACGGTCTAACATCCATTTCAGAAATGACATTAGGAACATCTTGTACTGCTTCAGAATCCATGGACACTGTTAAGTTGTGAGGTAAAATCAAAGAGGAAGCCATCAGCAACAGGCACTTATGACGTCACGTCACGCGATACCCCCTCTGCTCATTAAATGTCGGGTGTTTCCGTAATAGGCGGAAATACGAGTACATTTTTGTGTGATTTTATTGCTATTTTACAAACTTTTTGTTCAATTTTAATCAAGGAAGGTGACTTTTAGAACATCCTTTGCAACATATCCAAAGTTTTGTTTTTTGTTCGTATTCTCCTTTAAAGAGTTAGGAGATAACAGTGCTTCAAACATAAAGTCATAAACTGACTGAGATATTCATCACTTTGGCTAAATCATGGTGCTGGCAAATAGGGCTGCAACGATTTGGTTCGATTCACCTTAGGTTCGATTTTCGAGACCATTATCACTATATTTGCTAGTAGGGCTGCAACGATTCACCCAGACCTCGATTCGATTTTCGATACTGTACCCTCGATTCGATCATTTTCGATTCGATTCTTCATACAAGTAAAAACATCATATTTCACTTAACTCAGATTTTCAGTCAGCTTTTTTATCATGAAACCATCGTCAACTTAGCGATGTCTACTAACAACAATTCTCATTGGATAATTAGCCGGCGTCAACCAATCACATTTCGCCTTATTTCAGCACTTGAAACTGCTCGAGTTGGAGTCAAAATTATGTTCTGGCTGTGTGGAAATAATTTGAATCGGTATTCAAATATCGAATCGAAATAAATTGTATGGAGGGCAGATCTGGGATTTGAAACCCACAACCAAGAGATCCTGACACTGCTAAGGGACATAACTGGGCACAGATGAAAGATCTTAATCAGGATCTTTGGATTAGAACCCAAGCTATAAAGGTAAATTTGCAAAGACCAAAGGCCTTAATCTAAATGATATGAATTCACCTGTACCCATTTTGTAAACAATATGTTGATGTGCCATCTTGCCAGTGTTTGTTTGTTTGTTGTTTAACGCCGCACTCAGCAACATCACAGCTATATGCGGGCAATATGTAAATAATCAAGTCTGGACCATACAGTCCAGTGATCAACATCATGAGCATCCATCTACACAACTGGGATACGATGACCTGGAACAACCAAGTCAGTGAGTCTGAACCCCCAATCATGCTAGTCTTTTCTTACGCATCTTACCAGTGAGATCCTCCAACTTGATCACATGAGGAATTGTCGTTGACAGCCAGAAATACAAACTGTTTGGATGGAAGGCCTAGAGGCTCAAGTAAAACAACAAGCTCCTCAACTGAAAACAATATGCTTTTGTTACAGAAGAAAATTGACACATTCCTGTTAGCTCTAAAATCTTTCTAAAATATCAACATATTGAGGTAGGCCAGTTTACTGAACAGTATGCATGATAGGCTGCAAGTCTTGTCAGTCTTGTTGTGTTCAACCAATGTATGATTTCAGATTTCATGGGGTTTGTGGTCAGTAATTGGCTGTCAGTTGTCAGTTTATCTTAAGTATGGCACATTGTGTGTTCACAGTCCAAGAACTGCATTATTTTCCCTTCCGCCCAGCCCTTTCTGCAATGCTAAAGCCCTAAATGAAGACAGTCTAGATTTCTTCATGTTCTGAATTTCCCATCTCACTGGGACTCCTTTTATATTAAATGACAATATTTGTTCTAATCAAAAATAGATATATTCAGAGGCTATGCATTAGTCTACACATTATTCTGAGTTCCAGATTTGATGCATAGGAACCCTGGTCCAGTCTGTGCCTTGAACAGTCGCGGGAAGTAATGAGTTATAAGTTTCTAGAAACTTCAAGCAATTTCATCATTGTGGATATCAGAAAAGGGTTTTACATATTTTACTAATGTAGACAATTAAACTTAAGATATCTGACAGCATGAGTGAACACTTAAACCACATGGTTACTCTGTTGCCATGACCTTTATTTTATCTTATAGTAGCATTCTCTTCCTGTGTAGTTAACAATTATTTCACCTCACAGTAAAGTATTCACAAGCCAAACTCTGCCAAAACAAAGTGGAATGCGTGGCCTTTAATATATGTTTCAACCTTTGAAATAATTTAATAATAACAATAACAATATTATTATTATAATAATACTATTTATGCACCTTGAATGTCCTGGGCGCTTATTTGTAACCATAAATCAAATATCAATTATAGCAAGAAATGTTTGTCTTATTAAGTATTCCAAGAACAGATATCAATACATGACCTCAAATGAAACATCAGAGTTACAGATAAGCTGCAAATATTTATGTGAAAACTCAATTCCAAGTACGCTTGAATTTTTGTAAATACTCATTAAATGTAATCTTACATGCGTACACATAAAAATGTCAATTCTTAGTTTGTGTAGCGGTGGATAAATAAAATAACTGAGGTATATTGAGACTGAGAGGTTCTATTTCGGGACATGAACTTGGCAGCTTGCAGTCTTTCTTATCGTTAAAAACTATATTATAGTTTTACAATTAATGGAAAATGGCAAAGTACCAAAATGAGTTTGAGTGAGCTGAGTACAATTTATTTTGTTACTCAAAGGAAAATTAGGATACCCCATTGAGATGAGCACAAGCGAGTACATAACTCAATGACCGAAAAAGTTATCTGGAGCTCTGAAACATTATCATTATTTTGCACAATTACTCTCACCATGCACAACTACACAACTAAAAAAACAGGTTGTCGCGTCTAAACGCAAGTTTGGATGTGGTACTTTAGACGGCAGGAAAACTGGGGCACAAGAAATTATTACAGGTATCACTGGCAATGGAACATAGAAGTATTTAGTGAAGATGGTAAATGTGCTTACCTGGAGACAGCTTCAGTAGCTGAGTGAAGGATGGTGAGATGAAACACAGGCGATCAGCAGAATGGTTGAACTGTTCTCTTTCATAGTACCTGCAACATCAGTGTACTCAGCATGGTATTGCTTGACAACAATGATAGGTGCACTGGCTATACAATGCATTCCTTAATTACTTGTGAATACACAGGACTTATTGATGCCTGTATATTTTCAGTAAAATGCTGATTTAAGTTGATGAAAGTAGGTTGTGAATTATCTGTTTGATTGGCATTTTAGAAGTTGATGAATAATAAGAAAGGTATGATACTTTATTGCCAGTGAGAAGCACAACCACAACAATAACAACTTCTTGGGAGTACTGCACTTTACCGGGCGCACTTTTTCAGATTAATTAGCTCTGCTGGGGTTCCCTAACCCTAACCCTAAGGATCATAAAGGGTGCCTAACCCTAAACCTAAGCATCGTAAAGGGTGGCATACCCTTACTCTAAACCCTAAGGATCGTAAAGGGAGCAGCGAGGGCTGCGCCCGGTAAAGTGCATTCTAGCCAACTTCTTTATTATACTATGATGCGACATTTCCGGATAGATTCTTATACTGTTGTCAAGCAAGAGTGAAGTAATACAACACAGAGCAAGGTTGTGTATCACGGAAGTGAAATGAGTTCAAGCATGACTGTCATGCTAACCCACAATTTAGTGATACTCAAACAATGTATGGAGAGTATATTGCCACAAGCCTGTAGAACATGAACTCTGTTGTAGCAACTAGAAACTGCATCTTGCCTATTACAACTGAGATATGTATCACAGTAACAAGTAATATAGCACATGTATCAAATGTTTTGATAACAACTGCCCAACTGACACACTGTGTTAGATGACCTAGATACTTGACCTGAGAATGACCCACTTAGCTGTGTAAACATTCCTTTTGTAAGTGCTATTATTCAAACAAAACACATGTATCGTTCCAATGTAATGCATTAATAAATCCATGATATTATAGCCTGTCGGACATGCATCAACATTATTCATGACAACACGCTTGTGTAGCTCTATTACACCCTTGTTGTTTGCAATATGCAAATGTCTGGACTCGACAGTGCAGAGCGTAACCTTTAACCGAATGTCACGGTCAATGCTATCTCTAATCAACAAGGCATGTCAGCATTAAAACCCCGTCTTTCTGTCATCACTGTTATTGCTTAGCACTTCCGATAAACAGGCGGAATATTCTCCAGTGAATGTTTGTTTACGATTTGGGAGAAAGTTGTAAATTATCGTCCAACTGCACGTCATGTTTACACTTCAAAGTCACGATTCACCATTGCTCTGCAGTTAATACTTACTCAAAACAGAAGCCTATTAGTTTATCATTTAGCCAACCCGGGTCTTCTAGAAGTCGGAGGTCTCCTTGTCGTATGAGACTGTCATTAAAACTAAGAACTATCGCATCGTCGTCTTCAGCCATGGTCACACTGCATATGTGACATCACTTCCGTTTAGTGCCCAGCCCCCAAAAGTCAACCAATGAAAAACGCGAGTGCCCTCGTGCCTCCAAGTTTACTTTCGTGTTTCCGAGTTTGAATGAACGAACCCGTGAAAGGTCATGACCTCATCAGTGTGGAGCGTAAATAAAACCCCAGCATGCAGAATGGCTGGAAAAACAAAATATTGCATCATCCCCTCGCACACTTGCATCACCATTTGATGCAGTTGCATCATTACTTTGCCATTATTAATTAAACATTAATCCCAAAATGAATACTAAACCATATTGTTCTTATATATGTTTATATTTTACTTATATTGGTTATGTTTGGTTTGCAAACATGAAAAAAGAGACAACAGTAATGTGATCTTACTGATATATTAATAGAGGGAAATTAAGTAAACGTCTAATGCAATGACCTCTGTCAATAATTTCAGTGTTTGTTTTTGTCCATTTATATTTTTAAAATAACATAAAATTGTATAAGTGATTTCTATTCAGGAAAAAGAACTGGTGGCTTAATATATTTAAACAGGTGCATATTATTTGCTTACCAGTGTGACAGAATTGATTCATTCGACCCAGAATGATAAAAAATAATTACATCGGACCAGAGACCATGGTCTCTGATGGGACTGGCCCACACAGACCTTCCTCAAAAACTGTTCCATCAACATTTACTACTTGGTTACCAGGTCCCTATTAAAGGCCTAGGACACCCATTTAGAAAAGTCCCTATCTTTAGTGAGGTAGCAGCAGTGAAAAGCGCTATCCAGTAATTGGTATGACAACTCCCACCCTCAAGAGAGTGAGTCAGTGAGGGAACTAGACACAGAATGTATCAGGTGACTAAAAACAAACAAGGTTTACCCTGCTGTTGAAACAGTGTCCAGTGAGTTCAGTGACCAACTGCATGAATATTAACTGCATGGTTTAATGGTCGAGTGAGTGACAAGCACTGGTGAACATGATCAGGACATGCAGTATGGGTGATAGTGGCCTGATGTATCAAATTACCTGATAATGATGTTATCTGAGTGGTGGCCTAGTGAGTGATAAACCCTCAACAGACACCCACAGTAGTATTGAACAGGTGAGGAGGGAGGGAGGGAGTGGAGTGAGCGAGTGAGTTTTACTTCACAGTCAGTGATATTCCAGCTATATGGCGGTGGTCTGTAAATAATCGAATCTGGACCAGACAATCCAGGGATCAACAGCTTGAACATCGATCTACGCAATTGGGATACGATGACATGTGTCAACCCAGTCAGCAAGCCTGACCACCGATCCCGTCAGTCACCTGTTACGACAAGCATGGGTTATTGAAGATCAATTCTAACCTGGACCTTCACGGGTAGTTGGGAAATGGGTATCACTCATTGTACCCATATGGGAATCGAGCATAGATCTTCAGTGAGACAATCAAACACTTTACTACACCAACGCTACAAGCTAATCTGATGATGTAGGAAATGGAAATGTTTGTGGTGAGCCCTTGGCCAAACTGTTCAGATACATGTAATTCACTCTCTTCTCATGTATACACTGAAGTTTTAACTTGAATAAAATGTATGAAAGTGTGAGCAGAGTCAGAAAAAACGTAAGCAACGTTTAGTGTAACCATACATTATAACCATTATTCAGTCATTAAACAATGTATCATGTGACTTAACATGGTCCTGGTATACTAATGGGTTGTACCATGGACTCTGGACTTAGCACTGGATCCATGAAGATCCAGGTAAGAACTGGTCTCCAGGAACCCATGGTCAGACTGACTGATTTGGTTGACATGTCATATCTCAACTGCGTAGATTGATGCTCATGATGTCAATCACTAGACCGCCTGGTTACAGACCACCGCCATATAGCTGTAATATTGCCGAGTGCGTAGTGAAACATTGAGCCAGTCTCTGACCACCGCCATATAGCTGTAATATTGCCGAGTGTGTAGTGAAACATTGAGCCAGTCTCTGACCACCGCCATCTAGCTGTAATATTGCCGAGTGCGTAGTGAAACATTGAGCCAGTCTCTGACCACCGCCATCTAGCTGTAATATTGCCGAGTGCGTAGTGAAACATTGAGCCAGTCTCTGACCACCGCCATATAGCTGTAATATTGCCGAAGTGCGTAGTGAAACATTGAGCCAGTCTCTGACCACCATATAGCTGTAATATTGCGAGTCGCGTGAGTGAAACACTGAGCCAGTCTCTGACCACCGCCATATAGCTGTAATATTGCGAGAGTCGTGGTGAAACATTGAGCCAGTCTCTGACCACCGCCATATAGCTGTAACATTACCGAGTGCGTAGTGAAACATTGAGCCAGTCTCTGACCACCGCCATATAGCTGTAATATTGCTGAGTGCGTAGTAAAACACTGAGCCAGTCTCTGACCACCGCCATATAGCTGTAATATTGCTGAGTGCGTAGTGAAACATTGAGCCAGTCTCTGACCACCGCCATATAACTGTAATATTGCTGAGTGCATAGTGAAACAATGAGCCAGTCTCTGACCACCGCCATATAGCTGTAATATTGCCGAGTGCGTAGTGAAACATTGAGCCAGTCTCTGACCACCGCCATATAGCTGTAATATTGCCGAGTGTGTAGTGAAACATTGAGCCAGTCTCTGACCACCGCCATATAGCTGTAATATTGCCGAGTGCGTAGTGAAACATTGAGCCAGTCTCTGACCACCGTCATCTAGCTGTAATATTGCCGAGTGCGTAGTGAAACATTGAGCCAGTCTCTGACCACCGCCATCTAGCTGTAATATTGCTGAGTGCGTAGTGAAACATTGAGCCAGTCTCTGACCATTTGAGATGTTACGGTTGGTTGTTTGTAATTTACTGCTGCACTCATCACAATTCTACCCAACAGTAGCCTGTAAATAGCAACCTGGACCAGACAATCCTGTGATTGATATTGTGAACAATGGTCCACTTCATCAGGGAACGATGACATGCCCTCACCAAATAACTGACAACCCAATCCATTTTGGTCACCCCTTATTGGCTTATAACCATGAAGCAAATGTCAGGTTGAAGTCCTTACTTGCAATCATCTATTCCTATAGTGTGCCCAGATTTGTTTCTCTAGGAAGTGCATTGAACATTCCTGGTAAATATTCACTTCAGTAACATTAACCCATGAAGATAAGGGTAAAAATTGGTCTTCAGCAACCCATGTTTGTCGAAAGAGGTAACTAACAGATCAGTAGTCTGGCTCACTGACTTGTTTGACACGTCATCGTATCCTAATTCCCGAGATTGATGCTCATACTGTTGATCACTGGATTGTCTGGTCCAGACTTGATTATTTACACACCAGGGCCCCGTTTCACAAAGCTCTCGTAGGCCTAAGATCTCGTAACTTTTCTTGTAGCATTCGTACCTCCTATATTGTAACATAGGAAGTACGAAAGCTACGAGAAAAGTTACGAGATCTTAGGCTTACGAGAAGGGGGCCAGCGCCATATAGCTGGAATATTGCTGAGTGCAGCGTTCAACAACAAACAAACCAAACCAAACCAACCAGGTCAGACACTTTGACATGTGGCTCCTCCCACTGATGTTGACATCATCCATTGAGACAGTTTCCCATATCTCAATATTGATTACCAATATTGATTATCAACAGACTATCATACTCACAACTGATTATCAACACTAACATTATCAACATGGATCAATGGTCTACGTGTTTGATTACCTTGTGAATAAATCCCCACTACTCCTGTTGGAAGAGCAGGGTAAACTCAGTGAGTTTAGTTTTACGCCGCTTTTAGCAATATTCCAGCAATATCATGGCGGGGGACACCAGAAATGGGGTTCACACATTGTACCCATGTGGGGATTTGAACCCGGGTCTTGGGGTGACGAGGAAACACTTTAACCACTAGGCTACCCCACCACCCACTCTAGCAGGGTAAAGACCAGATAAAAAAAGTCTTTGCTACATAATGGAATACTTCATGCATGATAGTTCCACAATCATTTATGCTGTTCATAGCTCAATGAGTGAGTCAGTTTGGTTTTACACCGCTTTTAGCAATATTCCAGCAATATCACAGTGGTGGACACCAGAAATAGGCTTCACACATTGTACCCATGTGGGGAATCGAACCCAGGCCTTCGGCATGATGAGCATGCGCTTTAACCACTAGACTACCCACAGCCCCCACAGCTCTATGGAATGATCCTGAATTAAGCCCTATCTTGGTAACTGATCGGTGGCAATGCCACAGTCTACAGTCTCTGCTGAGAAGAACACACACAATCTCACACGGGTCATTGTATTCCTCCGATGCTTATGCTGTTGATCACTGTTCTGCTCAAGAATAGATTATTTACAGACTACCGCCATATAGCTGGAATATTGCTGAGTGCGGCGCCACAAAACTACACTCACTCACTCAGTGTAAATATTGATACAACGCATTTCATTGTAAAATATTTTATTCATGCTTACACTTGGAATTTTGTTACATAATTTACTATGATCACCATGTACATCATTTAAAAACTGCAAGTGATTTACAGAAATCTGCATTAGAAAGTAGGGCAAGGCTGGGATCTTTTAGTAAAGGGTTTGAAAATTGTACCTCCCGGAACTATGGCTTGTCTCCTGCATTGACTTGACATGCTGGAAACTAAAATACTGTTCAGGGTGTGGATGAACCGAACTCATTCGCTCACTCTAAACATGAAAATGGCAAGCAACAAACCTCTCATTGAAACAAATGATATAGACATTTGTGACAGGGCAAAGTGAGTGTGTGAACAGTTCTTCAGTCACATCACAGCATTTCAGGTCATTATAGGATTTACCCAACACAAACCCACAAGCACTAATAGGTTGCTGCCGGCTTACAATTACAAGGGACACAACTCCGCAGAGTGAACTGAGGCAGTGCCAACCATTGTTAACCATTGTCTTGGTACTGGTTTGAAATGAAATATTGGTTAATTTAGAGAGATGTTCTGGTTACTTTGAGTGCACAAACCGA